AATTCATATTTCCACCACAAACTATACATGGATCAGTTGCTATAGGTGTATTAGCTGGTGATGGAGGTTCTGGTGTTCCATCATCATCAGAAGATATAGAATTAGAATGTATATTACGCGACTTCATTGTTGGTAAATCAAAAGATTTATTTTTCTTATTACACTTTATTGTCATATTGATAGTATCGAAGCTATGATTAAAGAGGAGGAGAAGAATTCTACTGAAATGAATATAAACCAAATGATGTGTAAAGACAATGAATACTCCAACGATAATCATCAGTTAAAGAAATCCAGAATAATATCAACGTCGTCACCAACTTATAAATGTATGAAATGTTCTATAAACAAGTCATTAAAATGGTGGCCAGAAAATTGGAAGTCTTTAACCAAAGATTCTAGACACAAAATCAGCGATTTAAATAATGTCGTGTGTCATATTTGTTACATCAAAGAACATAAAGCTTCGAATAATACTAATATTGTTAATAGTCATTACCACAAGAGGTCTGTTGAAAAGAACAATGGAATTCATAAAAAAATAAAGAAATAAAATTTTTTTTTTTTATTAATAATTGATTAAATTATATATATATATATTTGATTAGCTATTTTTTTTTTAAAAAATAAATAATAATTAAAAACTTCAATAAACACGTAATTTTATTTTTTAACCTTTAATAATAAATAATATGTGATGAATGTACCACATCTTAATGAACATTTTTTAATTATTAATTCAATAGATGTGCGAATTCAAATCGCTGATGTTTATGCAACTATTTAGTAGTATAATTCATTGTAGCCATATCTTATTCAATGATTTATTATTATTTTTCATTATGCAAAAATAAATAAAAATACGAAAATAATCAGATGATTATTTAAGAAAATCCTGAAAAATCATTTTTCAATGAAATACTGGGACCTTTACTCAATCCAACCTCATCATTAATTTTTTTTTCGCGTTCTTCATGTAATTTTCTTTGTTCTTGTTGTAACAAAACATTAAATCTTATAGCTGCTTCTAATTTTGATTTAGGCTCTGGCGATAATAAATTAACAGCATCTTTAAAATACGTTGATTGTGATGTAGCCAACGATAATATGTTTGTCATGGATAATATGTGCAAAGGTGGTAATGATTTTTGTTGAGGAGTGGTGGTAGTGGATAAATAACAATCTAGTGGTGGGTCTGCTAATAAGTGGATTAATGTCGGCAATATAATTGCTAGTATTATCGATTCTTCAAAACAATAAATTTTAATTAGTATTCTGTATTTATAATCATTCAAAATAATAATAAATATAACCAATCAGTCAATGGTCAATCATTCAATAATGCTTACTATGCGATTCATTTGTTACATTATTCATTGTTAATAATGTTTTAATTGCCTCTTCAACAACCTTTAATTTTTCTTCAACAACTTTTGAATCATTGATATCTTCAATCAAATCTCTGGATGATTCTAAAAACAAAACAACTTCTGGTATAAGAACTTTGGTAAATCGGTTACTTAGTTCAACTGAAGCTTTTGTGGTAGATTCTTTATTGAAAGTTTTCGTGGATAATAGTATTAATGTACGTGTGCATTGTAATGAAGTGATTGCGATCTATTATTTATAAACAAG